AATCCAATCAACCCACAGCCGCATTAACAATCGCCCTGCCCCGCGCCCCTCCCCCAGACAACCAAACAACCCCCCCCCCCCCGGTCCCCAAAATCAACAAGCAAATAACCAAACCAAAATATAGGGTATCGATCCAATCGACTGAAATGTAGAAACTAACATGGGGACACATTGTACGTCTATACAATTTTGTAGACTCTTTTAGCAGTCCAAACAGATACAAATGCAAATACGCATAGTCCGGCGGTAACTATGAAGTATTAGCAAATCATCTGGCAAAGAAAAGGAAATACATACTGCACCAGAACCATGTAAGGCTATCGATTTCCTGACCTGGTACCTTCACGTTCATCCCCCACATGCCGCAGATGATGTTCATCGGTAGGACAATCGTACCAAGAACAGTCAGCTTACCCAGGACATCGGCAGTATGTTCCTGACGCTCGTTCATGAGGATGTTGATCTGCGCCAAATAATTGGAGTGTGCACGGGAAAGGATTCTGGACGACACAGTCAGCGACTTCAACGTTTGGATAGACCAGCCTTAAATATAGGTAAGAAACTTACGTTTCGTAGTGCGTTAGGTTACCAGTCATCGTCATGATGTGATCCTGAATGTCACCGAGGTACAGGCCAATCTCCGACTTGGGGGCAACCTCCCACTGCTCATTGCAACGCTTGGAAAAGCCCTTGACTACATCGGCCTTGTTGCTGAGAAGTCGGTACAGTCCCATGACCTTCTTGCGGCATTCTCCCACTCGCCGCAGCATATCTCCTGGTGCGAATGAAGGAAGCACACTGTCATTGGACGACACCTCCTTGCTGGCAGAGTGCATTTTCATGATCATCTCGTCGATCTCATCGACCTCATTTTCAATCGCTTGAATCAGCGGACCGAAGACATCGGTAATGTCATCAATCAGTGCGTATGAAATCCAGTCTGAGCTGAGGATCAGGTAATCCATCAGTTGGCGGATACGCCGCCGAACATTGGCTGGGTGAGGTGTTTGCGAAAAATGGAAGGAGATCACGCCTTCGCGGAAAACCACCACATACATGTTCACTGGCTCGAGATAGTCCTCGCTGTTGGTATCCTGCTCAAAAGTACGGTAGTTGACGAAATAGTAGCTGCGAAATAACTCGACTTTCTCTCGAGCTTCTTGCATCATAATGTCCTCTGTCGTCAATGCGTGAATCCCAAAAGCTTTGGCAATCGTACGCATCTCTGCATCTGTCGGGGAGAGGACATCTAGCCAGAAAGTCGGCCGTGGACCGTAGCGTTTAGGTTTCGGATTGGGGGTTTTGCTAAAAGGGGTGTTGGAAGGTGCGGGCGAGAGCTCACGGTGGGAGTCTGGGTGTCCTTCGCTGATGACAGATAAACGCGAGGGTCCTCTGACCGGAGGAGCATTGCCAGTCATAGGGTCATTTGCAGTTCTTCCGTTGGGAACAACGGTCTGAGGTGTCATACAAGGATTAACGCTCGTTTGATGGCCTTGGCCTTGACTTTGATTGTCTGTGTGATATATTGGCTTGTTGGCGGGATTGGTTGAGTGATTGAGAGCTGCATGCTCCATAAAAGATTCCTCTTCCGAGTCCTCGTCTTCAGACGAATCTTCCAATTCGGGAGGATCTGGAATAAACAAATCGCGGAAGCTACCACCTGGCTGTACCAGCTCAGAGATGGTTTGAGCATGAATGGTGCTCGGAAATTCCTCGTTGAAATATGTGAACCGATAAGGCGCCTCATCCTCTTCACGTCGCCATCCTGTATACTGAGGGCGCAATCGGCCTGCGATGAGCATAGGCTCACTGATCCTTTTGACTCGATTGTCTCCATTGCGCTCCTCTTTTTCCTCACGGCTCCATTCTTCCAGGGCGGAGAGATCGGGCCATCGCCGGTGTCTACGCCGTCGACGTTCGCCGGCTTCATCAGGAATTTGTCTCGCTCCCTCGTCTCCCAATTCGGATATCGTTTCGGTGGGGAAGCATACATCTTCCTGTGCTGGTAATGTCACGGTCCGGCGCCGCCGTAATTCTTGGTGAGGAGAGAGAAGCGGCGACCCAGGCGAAGAAGATGGCGCAGAATGTGAGTGCAATCCATTCCCGTCTATGTCGATCAGCGTGTCGTTCAAGGCGTTCATAGACTCCCGGTGATTCTCCATTGTCCGAGCTAACGAGAAGTCCCAATCAGCTCCTGTTACCACGGCATCGTCATAATTCATCTCCGGGCCCAGCTTTGGGGACCCGGGAATGGACGGCGGGTTGTTGACATCGTAGTCTCGCTCCACAGTGGGAGAATAGAGTGGGCTGCGATCATCCTTTGGTGAACAGCCGGAGGACATAGTCCGAGTAGAGTACTGTCGAGCACGTGAGGAGAACAAATTCGGGCGATTGTCCGTTCCATACCAATTATTGCCGGGCGTGTGACTGGAAACTGGCCGCATCAATGGGGTCCGATCATTGGCATCCTCTTCGTCACTATCACCATTGTGATGTTGTTGGCCCCGTCCTCCCCTCGGGGTGCTGCGAGATTGCCCATCGTTCGATCGGAAGACATTGGATGTTAGGGAGCTCGGCCGGAATGACGATGCAACGCGACTGTCACGACGAGGTCGCATCAAAGGTTGGTCCCTGTTCGGAAAGAAAAATTAGTATCTATCTCAAGCTCCGAGATCGCTCAATATCACGAGATTTTACCGATGGTCTAACAACGCATCGCTCTCCAAGCTTGTGTTACTCAGATTGCGTCCCAATTTGAAGAACGACTTGTCCCTCGAGGTTGGCCGGTCGGCCTCCATTGAATCTCTAACACCTCCAGCATCCGAAGTCTCCCCAGGAATATCATGAGATTCCTCCCGGCTAGGTGGAATAAAAGACTGGTGTCGATTGCGACGTTTGCGATTGCGGTTCTTTTTGCGCTTGGAGGACTTGGAGGGTTTGCCAGCAGCATAATCAGCGGGGGGGATGAAGCGGGTATTGTTGGCTGGCGTGGTCTCCGAGACGGGTACCGGACTACTAGTCCCTGGAGCCCGACCGCCGCCCATTGGGCCATAGCTAGCGTTGTTATCAGCGTCGGGTGGATAATCGCTGTGCTGTGGACGGCTAGACGAATGCGAGGAACGAGGCGGTCGGGAGGCCGCTATGCCAGGTGTTGGGATCATGGGCGGAGCCATTGTGACAGCGCCAATAATTGGGTTGCGATTGATGTTGGATATCTCCGGTACAGAGCAACTGCACTGAAGCGGAGGTTAATTTTTCAGCAGCCCACCCATCAACCAATGGAGCTAGGCCAACGCAAACAGTGCTAAGACTCGCAGCATGTAGGATACCGATACCCAGCTTTCCATACGATCTTACTAGCGCGGATGATCATGGGGAAATCGACATCGGCATGGTCGACAGCGCTGCAGCTCAGGTTTGGGGGATGACGCGGGTGGCAAAGCCAGAGTGGAACATTCCTGGAAGAAAACAAGGACAAGAAAGTCTTGAATTCGGATTTAAATAGGAAGTGGGAACGAGTCCAGTTTTTTTCTAAAGTGTACAACAAGAAAAAAGAAAGAATCCAATACAAAGAGAAATACCGAGGTCCCTCCAAGGCTGCAGATGAGACTCTGGCTGTTTGAATTCCATGGGACAGCCCAGGAGGCTTTTCCTAAAACAGGGTGGATGAGGTCAGCACAACTATAAAATCCAATTGCCTGTAGTTAACTACTCCGTACAACTTAGTATAGAATGAGATCAAAGGCAAAGGCAAAGGAACAAGCACAAGGTTGAAATTGAGGTTCTTCATACTTCACCTAGTCTTGAATCAGCTGAACAACAGGTCTTATACAAGACTTTGACAGCAGCCTAGGCTTTCGCAGGTGAAAGTTGGACGGATCATGTCGGTGTCGAGCTAGCAATCGATAGATAAATTCAAATTCCTAGCCACTGCATACACTGCTTGTCTGATAACTAACGACAGACTTGTCTAGCTCGCTATGACACTGCAAGAATGCTTCGCCACGAGAGCCATAAGCCGATCCGCAATGTCTAGTGCAAATCCATCGTCATTTATATCTCGCTCATCCGATACCACTCGGATTTTGCTGCCCTTTAGCCCGGAGCGTAGAGTGTCAGCAAGGGCGGCATCAGCGTCGGCATCGGCAAATTCCGACCCTACCGTCCCAATGATACTCACTCCTCCCCTAGGAAGCCACACCTCAACCATACTTTGGTCCTGGGCAAACCGGTTTAGTTTGTCGAGAAGGAAATCCCCGACTTCCCGACATTCGGCTGCAGAGGTTCGCATCAGGGTCACACTCGGATTATGGACTAGCAACTTGCGATCACGGTATTGGCGTGGCACAGTGTCGACTGGACCAAAATTGACCATATCCGTGGCTCCAATGGAAATGATATTGGGTATTCCGCGCTTCAGTGTCATCTCTAGGCGGCTGGTTTCGCAGCTCATAGTCCCACCGGCAATGAGGTCGCAGATCTCCGTCGTTGTGATGTCCAAGATGGCGTCTAGACAGCCGTCCTCCACCAATCGTTCCATAGCCTTTCCCCCATGGCCAGTCGCATGAAAAACGTAGACCTCTACAGAATAGTTCTCTTCCAAGTGACGTCTCACACGATCCACACACGGGGTGGTCACCCCGAACATGGTAATACCGACTCGAGTTTTCTTCTCTTCTCGCTGTTTATCCTGCAGACTTCGGGTCCGGCGTTCATCCAGCCTATGTTGATATGTGGATGCCATGCCAAAAATGGCGCCAGCCGCATTCCCCAGCACTTCACGGAGGAGCCGATTTGTGCCCGCGATGTCCACGATCGAGTACATCAATGTGATATCGCACTCGCCTACCATCGGTCCTGTATCCCCGGACGCGACTGTGCTGACGACAAGTTTGGGAAGGCCAAGAGGTGCAGCGTTCCTCATTACGGCGGTGATCAGACTGGTTCCTCCACTACCCCCAGCACCAATGATTCCGTGAACCTCCGTAGTTCGCAGTAATTCGGTGACACACTTACTGACGCAGCTGATGAGGAGTTCAATCACTTGTCCCCGGGGCTGGGTCAATAGATCGGTGCTGTCGCCGGATGCATACTTGGATATCAGGTCGGTGTGACTTATGGTGATGGCATCGTCGTTAATGGCTTGACGGCCACAGTCAATCAAGGTAATCTCTAGAGGCGTCGAGAAGCGGGTGGCAATATGCTGTAGCTGGTTGTAGATATATAGAATTTCTGCACGCTTGGTGTCAAGGGTCCCCAGAAGGATGATACGTGGCATGGTGAATGAGCTGGTGGAAGATTATAGGGAATTTATTGAATGACCTGACTATGTCTAGGCTTTAACTTAACACTGACAGATGCGTGTTTAGGTCCTCACATTGTAGCATCATTTGGTGGCAAAGCGCGGAGAAAACAAAGTGGAACTCAATCCCGCCTTCTCCGTATATGTCCGCCTTCGACTGCGACCTCGTCCAGCCAAGCCGCGAGCATATTACATATCCTTGGCTATATATTAGTGCGTATCACTATGTCCGCGCACCACCCACGCCAGCGTCTTCCGATTTCTTGTGAGCCGTGCCGTGTTCGCAAGATCCGATGTCCCCGAAATGGCCCCGCTTGCGGCACTTGTATACGACGCCGTGTTCCTCTAGAGCAATGTGTCTATAGTACCAGGAGAAAACCCTCACAGCGCCAGCCGCAGCAGTCTCAGCCACAAGCTCGCCCACTGGAAAATCGCTCATCATCCCCTGAGACCACTCTCCAACCACATTATCAAGGTCTCGCCGGAGAACCAGATGCGGATCTGGTAGCTCGGATAGAAAAGCTAGAGCAGCTGTTGCATGCAAAGAACCAACAGCCAGATACAACACCATCTTCGCTCAATTTTCCTCAATTGGATTCAGAGGTACAAGAGACCCGGAGATTAGGACCAGTGACAACGTTTACAACGGGCACTCTCATCCCATCCACTTCAGGACACGTCCGATTCCTCCCCTTTACCTCTGGCCGGCGTGTTTTCAGTCGAGCAACTCAAGAGAGCCCATTTCTAAGCCAGGAGAGCGCCATGATTGACACGCCCAGCGGTCCATATCCTTTTGGTGAACACGATGCTGAAAACAGACCTAATCTCTTGGCAAAACTCCCACCGACGGAGTATTGCAACCAGTTAAAGGATCTATATTTTCATTCGATTGCGCCCGTAGGTTTCCTATCTACCGCTATCATCAGGTTGACTGAAAATTAACATAGAAAAGCTCTTTCCTATCTTACATAGCCCTACGTTTCACGAACGGTATCATCAATTTTCCAAGGATCCAGATCAGGTCTCCCTAGCATGGCTTGCTCTCCTATTTACTATCTTAGGCACGGCTGTTCTCGCACTGGAAAATGACAGCCTCCTGCTTAAGACTCTCAGCCGCAAACATACCCCTTGGGATCGAGTCACGGAACTCTCAGAGCGGTATTACACCGCGGCGATGAAATGCCTCGAAGCAGATCGCTATCTCTGGCGACACAACATCTCAACACTACAGGCGCTACTGAACCTTATATATGGGATCCACCATAGTCATGGCCAAACATGGACTCTTCTGGGTTTGGTTCATCATCTGGCGCTGTCGATCGGTTGTCACGTTGACCCGGCCACGTTTTCCCTGGATATCGTCGAAACCGAAGAGCGTCGCCGCTGTTGGCTAGGCCTGACCATGCTGCTCTGTAACCAAAATCTGGCCATCACAGGACTTGATATATACCAGTCAGTGTTCTCGTCGCGTGTTCTGCCCACAGCTGAGGTGTGGGATGAGGACATCGTACAGGGACAACCAGCACCCATTGCAACCTCAGTAGGTATCAAACCTGTCTCATATCTGGTTCGAAAATCGCGCCTTTTTCAGATATCCTCCGAGATCTGTAATCCTGTTCTGGCTGCACGGCCGGACGATCCGACAACCCTCCAACGCCTGGACGCGGCCATCCAAGCCGATTTAGACCCACTAGAGCAGAGTTACGCCTCGATGCTTGGGGACAGCTCATCAGTTGTTCATACAAATCTGCTGCTCAGTTTTTCCCATCACCTAGTCCTCATTCTCCACAGTAATATACTGAATGAAGAAACCGTTTGTCTACCGCAACATAGCTGGTCAAAGCATCGCTGCCTGAAAAGTGCACAGCGCGTCTTAGAACTACATGCAGACTTCCACGGACTGCCCCAGTTCATGCCCTTCTACTGGTACATCCGTGGCCGAGGCGCTTTCCACGCTTTCCACGCCGCGTTCGTCTTGGTGCTTGCCCTTTCTATAGAGCCCCAAAAACCATGTACATTGAACGAGGTGCGACTGCTTCACGAATGCCATGCTCGACTCGAGGCGTCAAAGGCGCAAAGTCAGCTGTGCACCCGGACAGCAACGATTCTCGGCCAGATACTGTAAGTTGCCTAGCGCGCGTGACATACGTCTTAATGAGAACTGACGGACAACTCTCTAGATCTAGCAAGTGGATGACTACCTCGGCCCTGGTACCGGATGGATTGCCGAATTCTGTCTCACAGGGCCCCAATTCAAATAGACAGATGAATCCCATCAGCCAGCCCGCGGACCTTAGTAATGGCCACGCATTCACCTTGGAGAATGTCGGCTTTCCCGGTCTGGTTCGTCAAATCGAGCCACAGCAATGGATTAATCCAATGGACATGGATTGGGATCAGTGGGATCTGATTATGAATGCGATGGGAAGTATATCTTGATCCTTGCCGATTGGTATCTATTGAAATAGAAAGTGCATAAAATTAATATATGACATCATATGATGGACTTCTTATATGTTGACTGGCAGTCCAAGTAAATTAGTCCTCGTCTCCTATATGCATGGGGTTGTAGGATGATAGCTTATTCATCTTCTATTATTTAATGTATTGACGGACTCATTGGCCTTAATCTGGGGCGTTTGAGAATCCATTTCTCAATGATTTGCTGTCAGTAATGAGAGAGTGATCCCTACGCTTATGTCCGCGGTCTCCGCGCTTTGTGTATCTCGTCCGCATCCGCGCTCCATTAAGTCCGCCCCACGATGAATCATATAATTGGGAAGATCCCTCCCATTTTGATCTGTATGAACAATTGATCAAACTACAAACCTCCAAACCTCCATTTTCTTACTATGGCGCCACCTACCTCCCGTAGCGAAATCCTCGCCCATCTACGCCGTCAAATTGAAGACGGGAAACCCATTGTTGGAGCCGGAGCCGGTATGTACTTGACGTCACCTGTCCCTTTCGGTTGCCTCTGTCTATCAGTTTGACTGATAATCCACCATAAGGCATCGGTCTTTCCGCAAAATCGGTCGAGGCCGGAGGCGCAGACCTAGTCATCATATACAATAGCGGTCGCTTCCGCATGGCGGGGTGCGGAAGTCTCGCGGGACTAATGCCGTACAGCAACGCCAACGAGGTAGTGGTTGAAATGGCCGCCGAAGTCATCTCTATCGTTCAGAATATTCCCGTGATTGCGGGTGTTTGCGGTACGGACCCATTCAAGGATATCCCGCGGTTTCTGAAGCAACTGCGGGAATTGGGATTTGCCGGGGTGCAGAACTTCCCCACGGTGGGACTAGTCGATGGCAACTTCCGGGCCAACTTGGAGGAGACCGGGATGGGGTATTGTAAAGAGGTGGAGATGGTGCGGCAGGCAGCTGAATTGGATATTCTGACGACGCCATATGCTTTCAACGTCGAGGATGCCGAGGCTATGACGAAGGCCGGGGCGGATATCCTGGTGGCACATATGGGTCTGACTACTTCTGGCCTGATTGGGGCGAAGACTGGAAAGACGTTGGAACAATGTGTTGTGGAGATCCAGGCAATGCGGGATGCAGCGGTGAGGATCAATAAAGATATCATTGTGCTGTGTCACGGTGGGCCTATTGCTGCTCCAGGGGATGCGAAATTCGTATTAGACAGGGTGCAGGGTTTGCATGGCTTCTATGGGGCCAGTTCAATGGAGCGACTTCCTGTTGAAGTAGCCATCAGGGACACCACTGCTGAGTTCAAAAAGATTACCTTGAAGAGGTAGCTGGTGTAATATCCGGAGCTGTACCCGAGAAGCTCTTGAGGGACAACCCAATTTGATTCTTATAAAAAGAGAAGTCTTACAATTCTAGCCGAGGGCCAAGAAATAAACTGTAAAAGACAGATAAGTGGAAAGAATAAAGAATAAAGTATGAAATAGATTATTACACTGCCATACCAGAAGTACAGGTCATCACTCATAAGACATCAAAGCCATGATAATACACATCGGGCTGGCACATTGTCTTCGAAAGAACAAATGAGAAAATCAAATAGAAAACAGGAAAATGAAAATGAAAATGAACATAAAGACTCCACATATTCATGGTCATTGGCCTTGGAATGACCGTTACGTTAGATGACCTGGACGCCATATCACCCATTGACGAGAGAAGAGAAGAAAAATCATTAGACAATAAGAGCAAGGATGCAGCAAGCACGCATGTTAAGATGGGAGCAATCATGATCGGAGTGTGACGCCTCAGATCACATTACTCATGTCCATCATAGATGACGGTGCCACACTGTGAGTAACACTTTGAACAATGCTGTGGACCGACTTGGAAGCATCGATGGACATGCGGTCACCGCTCATCATCTTTGATACTTTCTTGTCTTTGCTAGGGCGGGCAATGAGGACCTGGGCAGGGCAGACGACGACTTCGTCATCACCCTCGCCTACATCATTGCCCTTTTTGACAACGAGAGGGAAGAGCACGATGCGCACAATGGACTGTTGGGCTTCGAGCTCGCTGTTGTCGTTCGTCAGACCGCTGCGCTCGTTCATCAGGGCTGCGTTGAAGTACACTTGGCGTGCAAGATCGCCATTTGTATCATATTCAGGCTGCAGAGGCGGTAGCATAATGAATTCAGCCAGCTGGGTACGCATTTCCAAGGAAAGGTTGACTGCTACCCGCATGATCTTGCGGAGGTTATCCAGGAGCTGGGATTCAACATGAGACGGCGGAGGGAGGACCTGCGATAGGGTTTGGAAGATTTCCAGAGTAACAGCCTCCGTGTCACTTTCACGTTGCGCAGCAAAGGCCGGTCGCCGGGATAGCAGTGTGAGAGTGGTAGCTCGCCAGCGATGCACAGCACGAGTTGGACCAACCTCGCCCAATTGTTTCTCAAGAGACTTGAGCTTTTGACGTTGCTCCCGGTCCATGCCGAAAAGGTAGCGGGTGAAGATGTATTCCCAAACCATCGTCATGACCACCGACATAAAGACATCACGGCGGCGGACACGATCAGATAGGTAGGCATCGGGATCGAAGCCGTCGAGGAGGGCGTTGTCAAAACGGTCTGCGATCTTTTCGTCCTGCAACTCACTAAGTAAGCGGCAGCGACGCTTATCATTGTGCTTAGAGAAGCGCACGACCCAAGATTGGACATGGCCACACAGCTTCTGGCAGGCAGCATCGAAGTACTCTTCATCCCGGAAGACAAGGGCATTGTCATGTACCGAGGCTGCGATTTGTTGTTGGAGCTCCTTCACCTTATCGCGGGCCACCTCAAGTTCGGTGCGCAGACGGCGCAATTCAACATCTTTTTGTGCAAGAGCCGACTCGATCTCTTGTCGAACTCGATCCTCCATCTGGGACGAGAGTTGAGTGTGTCGCAACTGTAAGTCGGCAAGGTCGCGCATGGACGACTCGCGTAGGGTGTTGACCTCGGCTGCGTGGGCGGCGGCGAGCGCAGAGTTGGATGCCGTCAGTCCCTCGTTCTCTTGGGTCAGACGAGTCATCTCCTTCTGCAGCCATTCCACCGAGTTCTTCAATTGTTCCACCTCCGATTCCCGATCGCGCAGATCGCCGTCGCGGGTGTTAAGGGCACGGTCGCTCTTTCGACGAGCGACGCTGGTATTCCGAAGCTTATCTTCAGCTTCATCGCGAGCAGCGATCAGTAGACGATTTTCAGAGATGAGCTGGTCGAGGCGGGTTTCGATGTCTTGCAAATGTTGCATGCTGCGACGGCGACGGACACTAGGCGGTCGGCTGGGCGACCGTGGGGAGTTGGGCGTCTCACCCCATCCCTCCTGGAGAAGTTAGTAAACCAAGACAAGACAAGACAACGCAACTGCAATCTCAATCGCAATCGCAAATGAAAATAAGGGATAAATTAATAACTTACATAGACATCCGACATACTTCGCAGGGGACGTTTGCCCTTGTCGGTGACGGGGTCGTAAGAGGAGGAAGACGGGACCTGATCGAGATCGAGATTCGAAGGCTGGGAATCTAGCGCTCGACTAGCCGCCCGCAGATCGCCACTAACACTGCGATTTGTACGACGTAATTTACCGCTGCTGGTGCTGGGTTTCAGAATTGATATCCCTTGCTCAGGCGTTTTTGGAATATCGGGGTTTGAACCCCCGCCCTTTTGGTTTTCTGTAGGCCAAGCCTCTCGATCAAAGGCATTGTCTGTAAACTTCCGGACGGGTGTCTGAGGCCGAGGTAAGACATGCTCGGACTTCATCTCCAGGCGGGGCGTCCCGCGATGAGCCATGGACGCTCCCTGGCCATCCCGTGGTTCTTGTTCCGCAATTGTATCAAGCGGAGTCCGGGGTCGCACATAATCGTCAGTCGGTCCTCCGAAGAGCGACCGAGGAGGGGAAGGGGGACGGAGAGCTTGTAGAGACGGTTCTTCCAAACTCCATGTTTTGGGTGTATGCTGGTGCCGTCCATGGATTGATGGTGATCGGCGTGGCTCACACAGTTCCTCTCCGGCTTCCGCCCCAGGCGGAAGGCGCGTAGGAGAAGAAGGTTCCTCGGTACGATTCCGGTCACTGGAGGGTTCCATTGACAATGGCAATGACGCATCTAAGGAATTTTCGCGATGCGTCGGAAGTTCAGGCCCCCTGATTGATTCATCCTCCGTGGCAGCAGGACTTTCGGATTGAGCTTTCAACTCTGAGATTGTAGACTCAATTTGTCTTTCGAGACTGCTAGGCAGGTCAGAGGCGAAATCATCGCCAATTCTTTTGGTTTCAGTGGTCGCTAGGGGTGCTTCAGAGACAGGGATCGCGATATCGCGATTCGCTTCCAAGTCCGCTCTTGTCTCTTCCTCAGCACTATCTTTTAGCGACGGTGTTTGCTGGTCCAAAGCTGATCGTCGGAATCCCGCACGCTCGAGGTCGGGAAATAAGTTGGCAATCTTAGATCCACCTGGAGTAGTTGTTCGAATAGGAGGTTCAATCTCTTTGTCGTTAAAGGGACCCAGTGAAGCCTCCTGGGCTTCCGAAGCAGCTTGGTGTGACTGCAGCTCGTCTTTTTTGCTCGCCGGCAAAGCCCAATTATCTTCCTCCGCAGCTTCGTTTGCATCTCGCGAAACTTCGGGGAATGAAGGATCAACATATTCTCCTATAATCTCAGCCTCTGAAGGTCGAATGTCCGGCTCAGGTTCAGGCTCCTCTTCCCTTGATCGCTGGGACTCTTCAAATTTTGCTTGCCAGTCAATCGACGGCCAGTCTTCGTCATTAGCCGACTTTTCACCAGGCGCTTCTGTGTCCTGGTTCTTATCTTCAAACGGCACAATGGTGGCATGTTGATCTGCTTCAATCGGAATTTTAGCCGGTGGCTCAGTGTCCAGGGACTTTTTGGACTTTTGGGCCTTCTTTGCCTTTTTCTTCAAGGCCTTACGTGACAGAGGAAGTTCCTCGCTAACGACGGCCTCTTCATCGGGTTGCATAGGCTCAACCTGAACTTCAGACCCGGATACAGGCTGATCCTCAATTAGTAGGGGAGCCTCAGTTGACGGCCCTTGCTCCAATGCAGGGTGAGGTTCTGCAACATGTTCCAGTTCCTTGGAAGTATCCGGTTCCACAACAGGCTCTGTCGGCTGTATCTCAGATTCCGTGGGTAACTCAGCCACATCAACCTGAGGCTCTTCCCGTTGTTGAGTCGAAACTTCTTCGGTGATGCCGGCGATCTTCTTGGCCTTCCGCTTATCCTTCTTTGACACCTTCTTGGACAGAGGCGACATCACTTCGTATTCTCCAGGCTGATCCTCGACGACTTCGAGATCAGCTCTTTTCTCAAGGTCTGCATCAGTCCCAACGTGTGCTTCATAATCTTGGTCGTTCTTCTCAGCAGGATCCTCGAGATGAAGGGGCTCATTGTTGGTATCTGGGTCAGTGGGTTGGATGGGTAAGACGAGTTCATCTTTCTTGCTTTCTGAAAGTTGCTTGTTATCTGATACGATGCTAAAGTCCCTAAGAGCCGTCGTTGCGGTGTTTTCAGGCTCGTGATTCGGAGCCACCTGGGTTTCTTCCGGGGAAATGGACTCATGCTCAGAAAAAGTTGGGTTTTTTTCAAGTGTCGCCTCCGATTCAACATCAGCCTCGGTAGTTGCAGACTCGATGGCAGGAACAACCTCCGCTGAGGTCTCCTCAAAAGTCACCTCTGGTTCAGGAGCAGCTTCTGCAGTTGCAGTCGTGGCGGCAGGAACATGATCTTTGGTAGGAGAAACAGCCGGCTCAATTACTTCTTGTGTGGCTTTCTTCTTGGCATTTTTCTTGTCCTTCTTTGACATTTTCCTAGTAATAGTATTGATGGCGGCTGATTCTTGGGCTGGCTCTTTTGTAGACTGCTCCGGCCTTACCTCGGATTCGAGAGATTTAACAGAATCGAGAGCATCAACAGGCTGCTTCAAAACATCTTCTTTCGGCTCAAAAGTTGTGAATTCTGTTGTTTCGTCTAGGCTCTTTTCTGCATCAGACCGAGGCTTGTCCTCAGTCTCTGAAGGCTGCTGCCCTTGGACGATAGGCTGCTCTGCCACCAACTCCAGAGCTTCAGGCGTGATCGTCGAGGGCTCCTCGGGATATTGTGGGTATTCTTTCTCGAAAGGGGTGGCGGTGATGGCAGCAGTAGTAGCAGCGGCCGTGGCCTTCTTCTGCTCTTTTTTGCTGTTATTCTTAGCGATAGTTGCCGATTCCCCGTCGGGCTCAGGGGCAGGTTCAGGCGGCGTTTGTGCGCTAGGTTGCTCGTCCGCCGGGGTTCCAGAAGCTTCCTCAGGCGACTTGTCTCCCTCCTCGACCTTCGGCTCGGTGGAAGAGAGATCGAAAGAGCTATCTCCACCTTCGATTTCTTGGCTTGGAACATGCGGTCCAGTATGTTGAGAAGGCGTTACAAGATTCTTGGTGGCCTCCTCGGGGACATCAATAGGCTGCACTGTAGGCTTATCTGGGCTAGTAGAAGCCTCATCTTGCGTGATAACTTCGGCAGGTGCCCACTCCGTTGCAACCTCAGCCTCTTGGAGAGAAGTTCCAGCCGCCTCAGATGCTGTCTGTTCTTCAGCCTGGGGCCCAGGTTCGGATTCTTGAGCAAGGATTGATTGGCGTTGCTTCTTCTTGTCCTTCTTAGCCTTGCGCTTCTGAGCAGGAGTCATTGGCGCCTCTTCAGCGGACTCGGCGACTGCATCGGCCTCTGGCTGCGTGGCCGCTTCACTGGGAGGAGCAACGCCCTCGACTTGTGGAATGCTAATATCCTTGGTTTCATCAACGTCCTCGGTTTTCTGGCCAGCGACAATCTCTTCGATGTCATGTGAGTGATCTCCCGGTTGCTTCTCTGGGAATAGCACTAGTTCGGCCTCGGCAATAGGCTCAGGCTCAGTGATTTCCTTTATTGCCGGCTGATGCTCGCCCTCAACCAAAGGCGCAGCTTCAAGCTGCTCCCTGTCGTCTGTAATATAGGTCTCGCGCTCAGAAGCTGCAATTCCCTCTTCTTGCTTGTTTTTCTTCTTTTTCTGCTTCTTCGAGCCAGCTGTCTTAGAAGCCACCCCCACACGAGACTCTTGTGTCTCCTCAGGGACAGCATCAATGGGCACATCAACAGACGTCTCTTCAATTTCTTTCTTCATTGAGATATCACCTGATTCCGGCATAGACGATTTCTCCTCAACATTCTCACCATCATTCACTTCCTTCATTTCCTCAAGAGATGCAGGCTCAACCATCTCCTCCTCCCGTTCATGTGCAGCAAGGGCAACATCGCGCTTCTGCTGATCATTTCCCTCCACCAACTCGCCGGAATCAACTGAACGCTCAAGCACGGGTTGGGGAGGATAATCTAAAAAAGGACTCTCTGTCGGCGTCTGCTCTACCTGCGAAGACACGTATTTATCAGTCGAGGCCGTATCTTGCGCCGTGGCGTCGTAAGTTTTTAAGTCGTGGGACTGATGTTCTTTACCGTCATGTTGCGCAGGCGAGGGTGCCGATATGGCTGAAAGTCCAGGGACGTCTGTGTCCGTAGAAGTGAGGACTTTTTCGACGCTGTTGGTCGCTTCAATGGGTGTAGCAGGCTCGGTTCCCGGGGCAAAAGGCGAATCGGATGTTGCAACGTCTTTATCGGTGTCGACATTCTTGGACTGGCGTTTCTTTGCTTTCTTGGCAGCTTTGCGTCGCTCCTTGGCTGACATACCAGCTTCTTCGTTCAGGTCCGCAGAAGAATGGGCACCGGCCTCTAGTTCTTCGGAGGGAGTTGCCTCAGCATCGACAATTGCTTCAGTCCCCGGAGGCTCGTTGTCGGTCTCCTTGACGCCAGCGGTTTCCTCTTTCGACAAAGCGTCTGATACGGCTTCTGTTGGCTCGACTTCCTCGGCCTTGGGAGCCTCGGCGTCAATGGTATCTTCACTCTCTAGACCCTCTGCGAGCTGTACTGGCTCAGAGGCTGGGTTATCTTGCAAATCCGGGGTCGCAGCCGGAATATCGATGGAAGTTTGAACAATAAGCTCGGATTTAGGATCAGATTCCTGCGCTGCGTCTGTGGCAGCAGGGGCGTTGTCAGCTAAGTCCACAGACTTGCCCTTCTTCTTATTCTTCTTCGCCTTCTTCTTTTGCGCCGTAGTCAAGGCAACTTCGGGCTCTTGTGCACTAGGTGACTTGGGCTCCGAGGGAGGCTGAGCATATTGTTCCGCCTGCTCTGGCAACTCGATTTCAGTAGAAACCGGGGTGTCGGGCGCAGCAGTTGAGACTAGTTCATGGTCGGTGATCTCTTTGCTTTGTTCAGAGGAAGCGGGTTCTTCTATCATCTCTGAAATTTCCCCTTTAGCAGCAGACTTGGTGGTTTCTTCGGCCACTGGCAACTCCTTGTCTGATTCTCCAGAGACAACCAAGTCAGCCGGAGCATCCTGAGGTTCAACCTTGTCTTCGAGTGTAGATAAATCTTGACCTGGCTTGGGTCCTTCGATCGGAGTAGCATCCTCGTCAAAAGCAACAGACTTGCGTTGTTTTTTCTTGTCTTTCTTGGCCTTCTTTTTCTGTGCGGGGGTCATTGTCTCCTCCGCAGTGCCCTCGGTAGCACCTCCCTCAGCAGGGGTATCCTGCTGCGTGACGTCTTTGATGGGGGGTTCTTCGTCCTTAGGCGCGTCTTCTGTCATAACAAGAGCCTGCGCATCTTTGTCGACAGTGGGCTCTTCCTGAGCGGATTCAAGCTTGGGCACCTCAGCAGGTATATGCTGTTCCTCTTCGGCGACAACGGATCGGCGCTTTTTCTTATCTTTCTTCGCCTTCTTCTTTTGAGCAGGAGTCATTGATGCCTCTTCAGAGGCCTCGGTGGCGGCTGCATGGGTAGGGAGATCCTGCTGCGCGACCTCTTCAACAGAGGGATCTTCGGCCTCAGGCGTTTCTTCTGCCATAATAGAAGTCCCCGCAAGTTGTTCGGTTCCCTGAGTCGGCATAGGGTCAGTGAGCTCTGCCTGAGCCAGTTCAGAAGGGGGCTTCTCGTCGGCTGGCGTAGGTGTGACCTCTTTCTCGACTGGTTCAGACCTAAACCCCTCAACAGGCACGGACTGTTCCTCTTCGGCAAGAACTAGTTGGTGCCTTTTCTTATCTTTCTTGGCCTTCCGCTTCTGAGCAGGAGTCATTGATGCCTCTTCAGCGGTCTCAGGGCCGGCTGCATCGGAAGGGACCTCTTCCTGCGCAGTGACTTCCGAGGACGGCTCTTCGGCCTTATGCGCCTCTTCCGTCACAATAGGACACTCTGTATCTTGAGAAGTCTGCTCAGGCTCCTGAGATGATATAGGTTCGGTAGATTTACACTCAGTAGGCACAGGTGTAGGTTCCTCTTTGGTAGGTATAATGTTAACCTCGTCCTCGGTCGGTATAGGCTGCTGCTCTTGAGTGGTTACTGATTGTCGGTTTTTCGTGTCTTTATTACCCTTCAGCTGCTGAGCAGGAGGCATTGATGACTCTTCAGCGGTCTCAATGCCGGTGGAAGGGGTCTCTGCCTGTGCTGTGACTTCCGAGGAGGGCTCTTCGGCCTTAGGCGCCTCTTCCGTCAAAATGGGACACTCTGTATCTTTATTGGGAGAAGTCTGCCCAGGCTCCTGAGATGATATGGGTTCGGTAGATTTGCACTCAGTAGGCGCAGGTGTAGGTTCCTCTTCGGTGGGTATAATTTGAACCTCTTCCTCAGTGGGAACAGCCTTGGACTCGTCCTCGGTCGGTATAGGCTGCTGCTCTTGAGCGGCAACTGATTGCCGCTTTTTCTTATCTTTCTTAGCCTTGCGCTTCTGAGCAGGGGTCATTAAGGCCTCTGCAGCGGCCTCGGTGGCGGCTACATCCGTAGCAGCCTCTAGCTGCGTGGTTTCTTCTGGAGAGGGCTCTTCGACCACAATAACAGGCTCCGTGTCTCTATCGTGTGAAGGCTGTTCAAGCTCTTTAGATAGCGCGAGCTCGCTGGATTCACTCTCGGCTAGCATAGGTATAGGCGCCTCTTCCAGGGATGCGAGGTTATTCTTTTCTTCGGCAGGGGCAGCCCTAGACTCTTCGTCGGCGGGTACAGGCTGCTCTTCCTCAGCGGCAACTGATTGGCGCTTCTTCTTATTCTTCTTCTTCGACTTAGAAGAAGATGCCGTCTGTTCACCTTCAGCCTCCTCCACCACTGGATTTTCTGTGGATTCCGTAGACTGAATCTCCTCCACAACAGGCTCTGGTGGAGACTCTGTGGGCTCGTCTTCGAGAGACTTGTCTAAAACAGGCTCCTCGCCGACGGCCGAATCAAGCTTTTGCTCTTTCTGTGGGTCTTCCATGGGAGCGGGGACCTCAACTATAGGCTCTAGGCCGCTTTCTTTGTCGTCATTTCGAAGATCAATAGCTAGTTCAGCAATCTCCGGTATAGGAATAATCTTGTCTGCGGGTGTCTCGGGAGCAAGTTCGCAATCGAGGATTGGCACATCCGGAGCTTGTTCCTCTTCAGGCTTGGTCTCAGCTTCAAGGTCACGGGCTGCCTCGGGTTCTGTAGGCTCATCAAGGCCTGCAACGGCTTCAGCAGTAGTTGTGGCCTCACGATCAGGCAAAATGTCGCCAAATTGTTCGCCACTCTTCTCCTCGGTAGAAGTAGGCTTATTCTCAGGCGTAGGCTTCTCTTCAAGCTGCACAGACTCTTGCTTTTGCTGCTTCTTCTTGTTTTTCTTGGCCTTCTTCCTCTCGGCAGCAGTCATTGGGACCTCGATTTCAGGAGACTTTTCATGTGTCTTGGGGGCATCGGTCTCTGGAGAATTTGCCGAGGCCTCTTCGGTGGGCGCTAGAGTCACATCCTCGCTCTTCAGCTCCTCTGCCTTGACAACATCGTCTTGCTGTTCATAATCTTGGCGCATATCGACGGGAGCGGTGGCTTCTTCCGGTACAAATGGAACATTAGCGGGAGCTTCGGCGGGCTCAATCTCAAACGACGGGGCAGTGTCTTCTATCGAGGGCTTAGCCTCAGCGGGGGGCTCGATGTCTCTCATTGCCTCGTTAGTCTCGGTATCGCCGGGCAGAAGAATATCATCGGTGAGTGGAGCTGCCTCGGGTTCTGTAAGTATAGGCGCAACCTCCTGTTCAGCCTGAGCATGCTCGGAAGAAACCGGTCCAGAGAAGTCGGCTGGAACAGCGTCATCAATTTCTGCAGTTGGAGCAATATCCTTGCTTGGATCAGCGGGTTCGGCATCGAACGCAGGAACAGCATCAACGGGCTTCACAATGGAACCAATGCTCTCTTCCTGCTCCTTTTGCTGTTTCTTTTTCGCCTTTTTGGCTTTTCTTCTCTCCGCAGCGGTCATAGGAGCCTCTGGCTCAGCAGGAGATTCTTCGGCTTTGGGCTGCTCCTCGGGTGCGATGGGTTCTTCTTTAGGCATCTCTGCCTCTGTCGCCTGTATCGCTGGTTGCGGAAGGGGGTCAAAAGAAGCTTCTTCCTGGGGCGGCATAACCTCGGAAAGTAGCTCAGCCTCGGGAAGTGGCTCGGCCCCAAGCGATTGTTCGAACTTGATGGGCAGCTCTATCTCGCTCTCCTGGGGAGGCGCATCCAACAGTGCGCCTTCTATGACAAGAGGAGCTTTCTTGGCTATATCCTCAGTGGCAGCCTCAATCTCAGGTACCGGCGAGGTAGATTCAGCAGGCTTCTCGTCGTCAGGAATGATGGATTCACTCTGCTTGCCCTTCTTCTTATTCTTTTTGCCCTTCTTCTTTTGGGCCGTAGTCAAGGCGACTTCGGGCTCGACTTGAACTTCGGTTTCGGGTTGAGTCTCAACAGTAGAAGGCTGTGAGATTTCGTCAGGACCCCCCTCAGCAGGATCCAGGTTTTCGGCGCTAGGCTGAACCTCAATGGCAATTGGCTGTGACAGTTCATCAGGTGGCTCCAAGGGGCCCACTGCCTCGGTTGCAACAGGTGTTACATCCACAGTGGCCTCCAATGGAACTTGCTTCTGCTCTTGGGCAGCTGCAGGCTCCTCAATGGTGGTTTCGAAGGGCTGTTCAAGATGTTCAGGATCAGAAGGTAAGGCTTCACCGCTAATTGGAGGGGATCGGGTATCCGCAGGATCGGCACCAGCTGATTGCTCAGGTTCAAGCTCTTGGATTTCTAGCTGGGATTCAGTCTCGCGAGTTTCTTCGACAGCAGCGGATTTGCGATTCTTTTTTTTCTTGTTTTTCCGCTTCTCTGCCTTTGTTTCTGATGCGTCTACAGGGTCATGTGCAGCCACGTCGATGCGAGGTTCCGTTGCAGGCTCCTTTTCCTCGGCGAGCTGTGGAGTATGTTCTTCAACGGCCTCTTCGAAGTTGTCTTCGCCTTCGGTGTCTTCTTTGGGTGTTTGGGGGATTTCAGGCGTGGTGCTATCGACTGGGGCCTCTGGAGTAGATGGGTTATCAATCTCTTCCAGGTTGCGGGATATTTCCTCCACTTCTGGTTGAGGGGCACCGGCAATTGAGCTTTCTTTAGCGTCAGTAAAATCAGGCTCCGGGGTCTGCTCTTTCTCGATGGGCAAACTGGGATCTTCGGAAACAGGTAGAACAGATTCCTCGCTGGGCACATGTTCCACAGGCTGAACCAGCTCTCCGGATTCCTGCTGGCTTCGAACTTGCTCTTCATCAGTGGTAGCAGACTTGATCACAGTCGGGTCAGAGGTGTTCTCAGTGGAAGGAGCAATATCCTCGGGCAAAGGCGGTGCTTGAATCTCTTCGGCGGCAAGACCGATGTCTTGCTGCTCGCCCTCACTCTGCTTGGAGGCAGAGGTAACATCCTGGGGCCGAGCAAGGACAGTATCACCTGCAGGCTCGTCAGAAGTAGACGCACTTTTTGATTTCTTCTTCTGCTTCTTCTTGTCACGCTTAGCCTTTTTAGTCGATGATGCGGTGTCCTGGGTAGCCTCGGATTCAGGAGCCGTGCCAACTTCAGGCGTTGTCACCAAAGGCTCAATTTCAAGCTCTCGAGAGGCCTTGATAGGCTCAGCCTCAGCTTCCTCGGGAATAGTAACATCGTGCTTAACAGGAGCACTCTCGGCCGCAACGGACTCAAGAGGAGTAGCTTCAACCATAGGCTCAGCCCCAGGTTGCTCAGGAATAGCAACATCGGACTTAACAGAATCCTTCTCGACGGCCGCAGACTCAAGAGCAGCTTCGACTGCAGGCTCATCAACCTGAAGCTCAGGCCTAGGCTCGTGGGGTACCTCAACATACTCAGTCTCGGATTGCTCAGTGACAGCAAGCTTAGGCTCAGCAGTAATAGCTTCAGGCACAGGCACTTCAGCAGGGTCCTGCACCAACTTCTTGGATAAATTCTCTTGATCGGCCGGTTCCTCGGAGGCTACCAGATCCGCATCTTGGGCCTGATTCTTCTTGCCCTTCTTCTTCTTGTTTCTCTTCTTAGGAGATTGAGTAGCCACATTCTTATCGGGGGCCATTTCAGTCTCTGGTTGAGTTTGAAGATTGGAAGACTGAAGAAGGTGTTCAGTCGATTCAGGATCGACTTCCTTGGCTGCCTCCATACCCGGTTGCACGGACTCATTGTCAGCGGAGTGATTCTCTTCGGTGGCAGGGACGGGCTCAATGAGCGTCTCCTCGCTGATAAGGGCCTTGCCATGGTCGTCAGAGGAACTGTCAGCGGCAACCGCTGCATCGACAATATCGCCGAAGTCATGTGTCTTAGTGGGTTCATCTGCAGGCAAGGAGCGAGACTCGTCATGCTCCCTGGCAACGGCAACGGCAACGGCAGCTGCATCGACAACACCGGCAGAGCCAGCGCCCTTGGCGAAATCTGCAGCGCTACTGAAGGACGAATCATGTTCTTGGGCCGGGGTTTCCGCCTCAGGCTGAGGGCGAGATACGCCCTCAAGAGCATCAAGCGCACGCTGCGTTTCTTGCTCCCTAAAGGCAACACCAACAAGGGAGCCCTCTACTGAAGGCAGGATGTCCAGTGTAGGTGACGGAGGCAACTCGTCCAGAACAGCGGGGTCCCGCAGGAGCTCAGAGGGGGAGTGGAACTCGTATCTGGGCCTTTCCTTCCTAGGCTCCGCGTGCTGGAAGTGTTCAGCAGTAGGCGTGGCCTGCTGCGAGCCGAGGAGATCAAGGTCTCTATCATGACTCTCGTTGGTTTGGTCGGTTGAAATCATCAGACCAGTCGGCCGCTGATTCTCCATGATTGAGTGGCTCAGATCTACATGCTCCCAGCTCTTAAGGCCGTCATCTTCGCGAAGGGATTTTAGGTCCTCTACTGACGGGGCTCGGGAGGAGGTCTTGCTAGATGGGAGCGATGGCAAGGGCTCCTCAGTCTCAGGCTCACCCTTGATCAAACTGTGGCGCTCGACGAGCCATAGAGGGCGTATCTCGCGCGAGTTTCGAAACTCGACCGATGCAGGCCGGCGGTTGCGTTGCTGGCTTGGGGAGCCTGGGGAGGCGGTGGGGGAGGGTTGTTCAACGGGGACTGCGCGCGAGAGGCCTGGGGAAGTTGGGGGACGGCGGAAGTGGAGAGGGACGGCTGTCGGCGATTCAGTGGTGGACTTAGCCACGGAGTGTCGGCGTTGCTTGGGGAATGGGGACTCCTGGGGGCGGCCTGTTCCAGGTGAAGCGGGGCGGCTCAGAGACTTCGGGGTCAAGTCAAGTGTCCTCTCCGTGGCTGGGGGAGAGGTGGATTGGCTCCGGGGCCTCTGCTGCGGGATCTCATTCCGTTCTGATCCTGCAGCTACAACAGCTGCGCTAACCGCTGGGGCTGGAAGCCACGAAGCACCATAATCTTCACGCTGATCCGCGGCTAGAATATCCGGGCGCTTCCTTAGAAAGAATTGGTCGTCGAAGTTGGCACTATATCCGTCCTGCACATGGAATAAAACCAATAAAAGCTTAGTACATTTCTTTTTTTGTTCGGGTTTTGTGGTTTTTGTGCAAGCTGGTTAGATCAACCAGTGAAAAAAGGGAAGCTATATGGGAAAATAAAGTGTACAACAAGAATCACAACATAAGTAGGTAAAAAGAAAAGTTCAGATGCTATACCTTCTCGGATTCCCGTTTCCTTCCCGAATCCACGATTTCCTCGTATCGATGACGACGCCGCTCTTCCTTTTGCTGTCTACTAGACCTGTACTCCTTCAGATTTGTGTCGTCCTGAGTACTCCTCTCCTTGTCCGACATGTAAGGATCCAGCTCATCAGCATTGCTAGAGCTGCGGTGCTTCTTACGGCGACGGCGTTCATCATCCACACCAGCTTCAGATATCGCTTCGCGGGATGAGCGCTTATCTAAAGAAGAAGAGCGAGAATGGTCAGGCCGAATATTCTCAGCTGGGGCCGAGACTTGTGAGCCAAAGACACTTCGCAAAAAGCCTGCACTCTTTTCTTTCTTATCCTTGCCACGGCGCTTCTCCAGGGACTCGTCAACCTGAGCTGGAGAAGAGGGTATAGAGGCATTGTCATCAATGTTAGTTTCACGGGATGAGCGGTAGGGATGCTTGCGGCGCTCAGACTTGTCGTCTCCAATGTCCGTAATGGTCAAGCGAGCATCGTCATCGACAGACAAGGTGTCACTTTCGCGGTTGGATCGACGCTTGCGACGTCTCTTTTTTTCCTCGTCACCTTCCGCGTCATCAGAAGCCGCTTCGGCATCACGACGTGGGTCGAAATCATCGCCACTACGTCGAGACCGGCGAGATTTGCTGGTCTCGTCTTTCGAGACAGGTGCAGAGAAGACAGACCGGTTGTCGTCACGAGATTCGGAGATCTCTTGCGATCTAGGGAGCTCGTAATCATCACCACTGCGTCTTGGTTTCCCTGACTTGGTTGACACATACTCTTTGCCGATGGGAGTAGAGTTAACAGAGCGGATATCATCCCGAGCTTCAGATGGTTCGCGTGACTCGTAGATCGCGAAATCGTCCCCGCTCCGTCGAGATTTGCGGGACTTGGACTTGAACCTCTCGTCCTTCGAAACAGGAGCAGAGATAACAGAGACAGAATCATCACGAGACTCCGGAGCCACGGAATCAAGGTATTCAGCAATGCCCAAGTCATTATCACTCCTTCTGGATTTCCTGGGCTTAGACTTGGATGTTTCACCCTTCGATACGGGAGCAGAGACAACAGAATAAGTCTCAGCCCGAGATGGAGACGTCCCCTGTGATTCATAAATCTCAAAATCGTCGCCGCGACGCCGGGAGCTGCGGGACTTCGGTGTCTCGTCCTTCAGAATAGGAGACCCGGCGAATTCCCGCTCTTGGAACTCGGAGAGATCAACGGCATCGCCCTTCTCCCTTGGCTTCTTAGACTTGGACTTGGTCGGGGTCTCCGGGTCCATGATAACAGGCGCCGGCGCTGAGACCACGGATCTGGCGTCGGCTAAGTCTATAGAGTTGGCTGTATCAAAGCCACCAGGCATCGAGAGGACATCTACATCTTTTTCAGGAGAAGTGGTACGGTCGCGCTTGCCATATTTACCATTCAGCTGCTCAATGACCTCCTGCGCAATTGAGGACTTGTCACGGCGGCCCGACGAACTATCCTGATCTCCTAAGAGGGATTCTGGCTCGTCGAAGAGAAGCTCATCCTTGTCCTGGATCACATGCTCAGGGGTAGAAGTGATATTCTTAGTAGATTTGGGATCAGTTTCTTCGACCTCGCCCTCGACGAAGCCGTGGGGCTGCTTGCGAGCCGGTGCAGACCAGGGTGAGGTAAATGTGTGTTCGTTCTCCGACCCGGGGGGGGAAGTGCGGGTGTGGTAGGATGGGTCGTCTGTGATCAAAGAGGGGTCGAACCCAGCTGCGGCGGTCGCAGCAGCAATTGTGGCCGCGAATTCAATATCGGCCCCATATTGCAATGGGCCGGAAATATCCTTGGGTTGGGATATCTTGGATGCCGGGAGAGGAACATCCTTGGCGGAAATTTCGGTAGGGGAAATATCATGCTCAAGAGGATCCTGCTCAGAAGAAGAAGGGACTTCGTACTCGTGAGTTTGGTGCTCACCCCAGGAGACACGGGAGCCGGTTGGTCGTTCGTGAGGCTTGGTATCATAAGACTTATTCACAGGGGTGGTTGGAGAAGTAGCGTCACGAACAGCACTACCGTTCACGCTTTGGGGAGGAGTTGGCTCAATTAAGTTGAGCCCAGGGACTCGCCATGGGAGGCGGTCCACGTGTTGATAGGGTTCGTATGAATAGTTTGACTCTGTGGGGGCGAGCTCCTCATGTGTACCTCGTTCGCTGGCGGGCTTTATCTCCACAATGGTGGGCATATTAGTGGAGCTACGGCTGCGAGCATGATCATCTGGGCTATGTCGTATCTCCTCGGGGGCATAAAATTCGGCGTAATCATCATAAACCTGTGCTGGACGGGGTGATTGAGGAGACCCTTTCTTCTGGTCTTCGCAGTATTCCCCCGTGGTCACTTCTTCGTTAATAGGCTGAGTGGGCTCAAACCGCGACACGATCGCATCCGCTACTGTATCAGTATCGCGCTTCCGCTCAGCGCGGCGTTTTTCTCGGCGCTCATTATATCGCTGGCTGGCTTCAGAGGCTTCGTCATCATTTGTCTTGCGAGAAAGAATAGTGCTGGCAGCGGCAGCGCCAACAGCTCCGGCAGCCGCTGCAGCAACCCATGATGAGGAGTCATTTTCTCTGCCGCCGGTATACAGGCGCTCTTCATCTCGCTCCTTTCGGCGTCGCTCTCGACGCTCAGTTTCCTGGTGGGCCAGCTCCTCCTCTCGGTCAATCAGTTGAACCGGTTGATCAGCAACTTCACCTCGATAGTTCTCATTGCGACGAGTAAGGTGGCGTTCCCTCTCTGCTTGCTCTTCCGTCAATTTAAACTGCACAGACGCTTGATCCTTGGCAGTGAACCGGCGCTTGAGGGTGGAAGCAGTTTCCTGGGTAGGGAAAACAGGAGAGGAATCACTGCGTCGATGATCTCTGCGGCGGTCGGCGTATGTTGATTCTGCTGGTGCCCATGCTGCATCACGAGGACCTTGGAACTGCCACTGCGAGTCGTAGTGTTCAACTTCATTGGCGAAGAGGGGTGGGGCCACTGGGGTGCTGTACGCGGGGATCGACCCCGGAACAGCTCCCTGGGTAGTGTACACTGATTGGGAGACTGGGGTGAAGGGCTGAGGCTGCTGAAGGGGAATGGGCCCTGGCCTGATGAGAGTTGGCTCTCCTGCAGATACAGATGCCACATCAAAGCGAGATGGGTCGGAAGTAGGCATTGGGTAAACTTGCTGCAGGCTTCCAGGCCTAATTGGGGGGTTACTATCACGGTGGCGAGCGGAAGAAATCACAGCGGCTCCAGCGCCAGCTATCAGAGCGGCATTTGTAGCACTCAACCGCTTGTCCTTTTTCTTCTTCTTGTACTTCTTGCTTCCCCATCTCCAGCCCCATTTGCTACTGGCGGAGTCGGAGGAAGACTCGGTGCTGCTTTCCCCGAATGCGAGCGCAGAGCTAACACTTGAAGAGAACTGGTCCTCTGACTCAGCATCGACCCATTCTTCATCCTGTGTGGTAGAGTGGGCGTAGTTAGACTGTCGGGGTCGAGCTGTGTACATTTGACCTGCAGTGCGCCCAGGAGCATGGGGCGAGGAGCGAGCCAAACGGGTTGCTGTGTCGCTAAGTTCCAGCAAAGCGGCATCAACATCTGGACCCTTCTTGCCCTTCTTCTTAGGCTTGGAAGATTTTATTGGCAGCCTATGTCCGAAGGCAAGATCATTGTCCAATGAAGAGGATGAAGAGCCACTCTTGAACGAGAAAAAACCGCTCCGCTTCTTGGTGTGATGTTTCTTCCTGTTCTCAGAAGAAGAAGTGAAGAAAGACCCGATTCCACCAGCGATGGACTTCTTGCTGGGCCTGGGAATATTAACAAAGGACGATGATGAAGATGAATCCTTTCGGCGTTGTCGTCTTTCAGGAGAACGACTGCGGGAGCGGTTACGCGACTTTGCACCAGCAAGCGAGGCCCCACCCACTGCGGCACCAAGTGCGGCCTCCTTGAGATACGAATGCCGGCCAGAAGAGGAAGACCTAGATCGGGAGCTTGTGTGCCGAGAATATCCAGACTGAGATGCATGCTTGGAGTCTGCTCGATAGTCTCTGTGAGGACTGCGGCCAGAACGACGGGTCACACCACGAGAGGTATGGCTCCTTCGGTCATCTTCTTCCCTGTGGGAGGAGGGCCCTCGGCCGGAGCGAAGGCTGTAAGAATCGTCAAACTCCTTGCTCGAGAAGAGCGACTTGGTCGCATAACCGGCTAGCATGCCAGGCAGCCACGAGGAAGACTGCTTGGACTTTGACCGTCGGCGGCCCTCATCTTCAGAGGAGTTGTATCGGCTGTTTTTGCTTACTCTGGAGCTCCCACTGCTCCGCCGGTCGGCGGAGTGTCGGCGGTTTCTGTAGTAATGGTGCTTGCGAGGAGCATCGATGGAGCTCGTACCAGGTTGGAAACAGTATTTGCACACACCTATACTTTCCGTGTAGTCCTCAAATCTTCCAACGGCCTCAGGGTCACGCCAGAAATCAACAAATCTTCCCATGGCACCACGCTGACGCTCTTGGAAAGCCAGAGCGCTGGGTCCGTGAGGATAGTAACCCGGGTTGTAGGCAGCATGAGCACCGTATCCACCCGCGCTTGGAGCATACAAAGCATTACTAGGGCCAGGGGCATACGGCGGCATACCACCAGCCTGAGAAGATTGCTCGTAATGCTGAGAAGCGTAATGAGGTGCGTGCTCGGGGCTAGAGGGGTGATGGTGATGATCTATCATGTACCCCGTTGCAGCACCTGCAGCCGCAATGCCGACACCTTCACTGAAGCTATGCGAATGGGACGGCTTGAATGGAGGGTATTCCATTGACTGGCTATGCACCATTGGCTGATGGTCATGTACCGTTGGCTGGTGGTCATGTACCATTGGCTGGTGGTCATGTACCGTTGGCTGGTGGTCATGTACCGTTGGCTGACCCTGCTGGACGTACGAAGTAGTGTGCTGCGGAGGGGAATGCGACTCAGAGTGAGACATCATACCACTAATGCCATAGGCGGCAGCTCCAACGGCGGCAGCAGGAAGAACGCCCGACGATGAAGGGTTCGAAGGCTTAGACGGTTTCGATGGTTTAAATGGAGGCACTATCGGCGGCTGATCTTGCTGTGCCGGAGCATGGAAGTTGTCGTCAAAATAGGCCGCCGCCGCACCAGTTTCGCCCAGGCTACTAGGCTCTGGAGGTGGATTAGCCGATGGAGATGCTGCCATCAAGTGAGCTTGCGTGTTCGGAAGCACACTTGGGGGAGCCGGCCGAACACCGGGCTGGTGCTCAACAGACTGGCCTTGGTCACCATAGTAGTCTGCCGCAGCGCCAGCAGGGTTAGGCGGCCGATATGGGGCAGAAACTTGCTCGGGGAATTGGCCGGGGAATTGTTGCTGCACGTGCGGATCATACGGAACTTCATGCGCTGGAGAATGGCCTGCGGATGGCATCCCAGTGTCGTATTGCATGGGGAATTGCGAGAATCCCGGTGCGCCAATCTCGGCGGCAAACTGCGCGCCGGGGGCACTAGCCGACACGTTTGTGGAGATCGGAGGCACATACGGGTCCCCTGACTGAGTGCGGCGACGCTCGCGACTGTCGCGCTCCCGATCCAAGTCATCGTCCAGAGTATCTTCTGTTCCTCGGCGGCTACCTCTCTTCTCACGCTCTGGATTTTCAGATCGGTCCTGGTCGCGCTGACGAGAACTCTTGCTTTCTCGTTCACTGTCTCTGCGTTTGGGTGTGCGTTCAATATAGTCGCGATCGGCGTCATCAACGGGTTCTGTCTCGGCGGTCACATAGGTTGAGATAGAGTCGCCAGCGGTGCTAAGTGGGCCACGCTTACTGCGGGGAGCCGAAGACGAATAAGACGACAAATCACCCAGGCCGCGGTCACGGTCGTCACCCCGTGCGGACTTGCGACTTGAGATCGATCTTGTGTCAGAATTGTCAGGCCTGTCGGACTTGCGCCGGCTGCTCTTAGAACTGCTGCGAACGTCGGATGAGGACGACGAGCGGCCCCCGCCCATCAGGGCTTTGAACATAGTAGGCAATTAATGTGGATAGCCGGAGCGAACCATGTGGAATGAAAGGATTGGAAGGATTGGAATGATTGGAATGATTGGAATGGGGGCAGGTGTGGGGTGGAAGTGTTTGTTGTAAGTCAGAAGGAACGCAATGTTATGGGTTTGTTTGGGGGAGTAAACAACGGAGCAGACCCATGGATCTTGTATCCGAAAAGGCCCCCAGTGGATCTCAACTTGATGGCCCTTAACCTCACCTTATTCTCTTGTTCTAGTGTTGGGTATCGGATAGAATCTGTGTGTTAGGGGTTAGATGAGATACAGGCGATCTGCTGAGAAATGCAACTGTGAAAAATGTGTTCATAGCGCTGATGAACTGTCGGTGCAACAAGTGGAGCGAATCAAAATCGCGGTGAAGCATCGTGCACGGACCAGAATGTGGCTGGCTGGGGTCACTTCTTCCCAGCCATCTATGGAAGTATAGAGTACGGAATACTCCGTGCCTCGACGATACATCTGAAGATAATGGTATCTGGTCTAAATCTATCCATTCTATCCTTCTCGGCAGAGAGCACTCCCGAATGCCTATATAAAAACAAGTCACATGCTACCTGTACCATTGCGAACAACTAAAAGCATCAGCCTGGCCAAGAAGCGCTATACCCAAAGTAGTTTAAATGGGTGTGCAAATATTATTGTCATAAGAGTGCAATAACTATCTGCATCAACATGACAGATAATAGCGCAACCATATAGCCACAACACCACTCACTATTCGAGTATCAAAGACCAACCCAAGTCCAACCAGTAGCTCCATCAAACTGGAAACCCTTCTCCAACCTACATCCCAGCAAATGCTGTAACCATCCAGACAGCCCTTTGATCATTTTGCAATCCACCAAACAGATCCAGGCACAACAACATGTCCACACCCAGCCTTGGGCGCTTGCTTAACAAGCTCCGCGGCAATGGTCGCAGGGTGAAGCGGGGGATTAAACGAAGTATCCTCAAGGGTCAAATCTTCAATACTAACGGTTTTAATGAAGCCTTGGGTCGCAAGGACAGTGCGAACATAAAGTGCATGGTATCATGTAACCAGCTCAGCAACAAGCCCCCCGTGGAACGAAATAGCCGCAGCCTTGGACGCCAAGTAATCCACCACATAATGCGCAACGGTGAGCCCAGCAAGCAAAGCCACAGTAAAAACGATACCATACTTCGCTTCCATCGTATCAGACAGAAACTCCTGCCAGAGCCAGTAGTGCGCGAGCGGGTTGACCTCGAACAAGCGGCACGTATAGGCTGGGGTTGTTGGTATAGATGCCTGTGTTGTTGATTAGGAGCCGCGGACTTTGGAGGCTACGTCTGCGATGTTCGACGCGAACATTATAACAGCCTCGGACTGCGTATTGGGCAAAAGCAATGATGGCAAGTAACTTCGAGAGGTAAATTTGCCGTGCACATCAGCTGTGAAGATTGAGGTTATATAAGCATTGGCTGGTTGGTATAGGAATAAGGTGTCGATCTCTTCTCTTGAGGTCCATTTCTTGCATTTCTTGTCATGTCTGGGTTGGGATGTATGTCGATTTTTACCATTTCAAGACCTGAAAGATAACGAAGGATGCCTGATGTATACGGTCTCTAACACACTCTTGATCAGCACAATGCAGAGAAGCCGAGGTCCGCGAGCAGCATGCATTTGCTTTCTCTGTGATTGTCAGGAATGATAGGTATAATAATAGCATATACATGCCTATTCGTCCAAATTATTCTAGTTAGACTTTTGAATAATTTTGGTTTGATACCGGCCGGCCCTGATGAAAACCGTGGGAGTTGAAACCGTGGGAGCGGAAGGGCCCACAAAACCGCAGGGTCTGGTACTTCCAAGCTTGTGCACGAACCCCAAAGCTACCATTCCCACTAGGGTTTGATCGAGCAATATCAGGACTTCATCTCAATTGATCTGTCCTGTCCAGTCTGGGAAACTACCGAGAAGGAAATTTACAGCAACTAATCCCCCAAAGACAGCTCACACTAAAGATGAGCTATAATGCAATAACACCAAAAGCCAACCACGAAATGCAAACTTTCGCATTGAATATGGAAATGAAAACGATATGGCGCAGCCAAATCACAGAAATAAGTTGGCATATTGTAAGAGCATCCAAGAACATCCAACGTACGTGTACGGCTTGGGATGCATGTGATGTAAATAGAATAACCACACAAGACAATAACTCCACGTATCTCTGCGGGGACAAACCGTCGGAGCCACGAAATGCTTCGAAATCCGAGACAAGAGGAAGAGAGAGAAGAGAAAAAAAAAAAGGAACGAGTCAAAGCCAATCCAGTCATCACTTGAAGAGAGGCAATGAAAGAATGGGTGAGATTTCTCGGCGTATAAAAATAAGCCATACCGATCAATCACCGCCAATAACTCCCGTGTCATCTGATCTTGTCTCAGATGCACGAGTGTGGAGTGTTGAATCGGATAAGGTTGGGGAATCATCAATGAAAAGGACTATATAGTGCACAAGGTATAGAAGACAGGCAGATAACAGATTTGAGCGTGTAAGGATTCGGGCTTGAAGGGACAGAGGCAGAGACATGCATGATGTGTTCATAAGGATATAGGATATCAGGTATCGGGTTGCAAAGCCCACAGGAACAGGACAAAAAAAATAACTTGGACGCTGGATGCACATTTAAGGGAAGCTCATGCTGGTAGTTTGGCTGTTCATGCTGGGGGTATGACTGCTCATGCTGGGAGTGTGGCTACTCATGCTGGTGACTCGTCTCAAATCAGGAGGATGATGGAAGATCATCGTGTAGATTTCAGTGAGAATGCGAGCATCAGCGCGGAGGGTGGGGGATATATTTTCGCTTTGAATGAGGAATCCTATTGTGCGGACAAGGAGACGATCGAGTTGCTCTGGCTCGACAAGCTCGTTTAAACTTGACATGAAAGTTGCAGATAGGACAAGCATATTGCCAAATTGCCTGCAAATAAAATAGGTTAGTCTCATCTCCATAGCTGTGATTCTTTGAAACGGGGTCAGAGGATTCCTTACGCATGGGCAGTGCCGAAAATGTTGGTAACGACCAACCGATGTCCGCCTACACCGTCAAAAGCCTCCGTGCTCTTAATGGCCGATTTAATGCAGATGTCGCAGGCCCCTTTCAATTTCCTCGGCAGATCTTGTAAACGGACTTTAGGTGGTTGCCAGTCCGCAGAGACTGCGGCCGGCATAGAGCCTATGTCACTAGACATACGTGCCATGTGCGGAGCCCGAGCACTGTGCAGCATTGAGGGAGACAATCGTTGCGAGGTAGGCGAGTTCACTGATGAGTGGCCGACTGGACCGACGCGAGCACCTGTATGGCCGTAGTGCAATGCGTGGTAGAGAAGAGGTCGGTGAATGATGTACCGGGCACCGTAATACTTGGCACGCATGCGAGCGGCGTTAATTTCGTTTGCTGGTGGATCGTTTTCGTCCCACTGCATGCTTTGTGGGAGGCTTTTACGCCAGAGGTCGAGGTTTAGGCTCAGAGCTTCTTGAACGGTGGATGACCATCGTGTCTGGCCTTGCTTTTCGACCTTGTATAAGTCTGTATGAACTCGATTCAAAACTTTCCGTAGATGGATTTGAGCAGAATAAAACAGCATCATCATCGTTTGGGGTGCGTTGAGATCGTTCGGTAGAATGATAGTCCATTTTCCTTTCGGAATAGCCATCCGACCCTCGGAGCGGGAGATGCCACTCGCTGGAATATCCAGCTCCGCGAGCAGATCACTCTCCAATTGCAGACACGTCCAGTAAGCGAAGTTATACAGGTCCTGCGTAGGCCCCTCTTCGAGTCGCTCATATCGCTTTGTTCTCACAAGAACTTGGCAAGCCCTTGAGGCCTGATAAATCCAGCTGTGACTTTGGAAGGGGTGGGCCAGCTGGCCGGCATAAAGACCAGCGAGCAACCCACACTGGACATGCTCTAGCTCGTTACCACCCTGTAGATGGCCCAATATTGCGGTCGCATATCCATAGAGAGTCAGGCCAGGAATAGCCTGGTAGTTCTTTGTGTTCCCTTGTTCATCCTGCACATTTGTCACATCTCTCCTTGACAGACCTGGTATGCCTTTGTTGAGTGGACTGTCAGGGAAAGACTGCCCGGGAGGCTGAGTTGGCACAGTATAAAGAGAATTCGAAAGCGACATCTGCATGGCCGCCGAGTCGGAGTTTGCGGGGGAGAGCACACCATTAGTAACGTATGTCCCATTTAGGGTCGGCGGAGGAATAAACGGTGGCAGCGGTTCAGGAATGCGCTGGTTGGGGTAGTCAATCTTCTTGTCCATGATAGGCCCAGGGAGAGGGGCAGGAGCTTCGCAAATAGCTCCAAGGGCCAGGCACAGGATAACCAAGGCATTGTCGATATTTTTGCCGACCCGTGGCCGCGGCGGGTTGGGGATGCTCTGCATGAACTCGCCACGCACACCTAGGTTTTCGTTCGACCGCCTCCTTTTGGCTGGTGGCGGCCCATCGCGCGCTAGTCGTGTGTAACTGGAAGCCGAACTCGGTGAAGTATTAGGGCGACAATAGCATCGGATGAAATTGTCGACCTTGATATTGAGCTCACCCATCATGAGGAATGGGTGGAGCTTAAACATGTGCTCGATGTAGCTGTCATAGTAGCGCCTAGCAGTTGCAGCATCCAGCTTCATGTTCCCAAATTCGTCGATGTCGACATCAGCATCTGGTCCTGCGCCATCCCCGTCGGGTCGGACACCCTTGGAGCCCTTGGAGTCACCATCCATTGGTAATTGACTGTCATCGGCGGTGTATGAAATCTCGCCTTGGCCGTATATGCTCAGGAGACCGCGCTCTTCTTCCAAACGCATCACATAGTCCTCGTCATATTGTTCAGGGTGTAGCAGCCTCTTAATTGACGGCCACATCAATAGCTTGTGAGCTGCAGTGGTGTGCTCCACTGGGATGGAGAGCTCTCCCTCAGCCTCCCTCTGATCTTCGAGTCTCGGGTCCATGGGTCCCAGATTTTGGCCAAATTGTGAATATTGACTGCCGGGATCCAGAATATTTGGAGTTGGGGCATGGGGACGAGGCATCTCTGTTTTGAAAGGCGGGTCCTGCTTGATGAGCGGTGGCGGTGGTGGAAGAGACGGACGTTCTTGGACAGTCGGAGGTGGTTGATTGCCCAGCTTGTTCAGCAACTGCTCTTGCATTTGCATTTGCATTTTTTTGAAACGCTCATCCATGCGGTTGTCTCGCTCCTCCATGCGGTTCTCTATCTGGGAAAGTCGATCCAATACCAGCTGGGTGGTCTTCTCTTGTTTATGTGGCGGCACCTCCTTGTAGACACAGCCCAGATTGTTCTCTTTACAGTGACTGCAATTTGGTCGTCCCTCATCACACTTTGCTTTCCTCGCTCGGCATTGGTCACAAGCCTATATAGCTCGAGTATTAGTCTGGGATCCCCCGAAACGATACTGTGTTCTACTAGCTTAACATACCTGCGTAGCTCTATTCGCCTTACGCTGGCGTGCTCCAAACGTCTGGTTTTGATAAAATGCCTGATCATACCCCGCAGGCGGCGTAGCACTCGCCATTTGGGCAACGGGTGTCATGAATTGGGAGGCGGGAGGCAGGGCACCCGAAACGGGTGTATGCTCAGCACTGCTGATCTGATCTGGGGGCGGGTAGCCCATACGAGGGCGATAATCAGGTGAGGCCTCATGCGGCGCGCCATTCATTGGCTGGTGGAAGTTCTGGGGAATTGGGTCTTGCGGGGAATGCACGGGCGCATGTAGGGGCAGGCCATGACCATTCGGACGACCGTAGGGGCCTTCCGGTGTTAACTGTGGTAGCTCACGGTTGGGCATCACAGGGTATCCTGCTGGCTGCGGGGGTAGGGTAGTCTGGGGGTTTGCGGAGCGGCGGGGGTCGGAGAGGTGGTTATCGAATGTCGGGGGGTATGCAGGGCGCCATGAGGGGTCGTATGCTACATGCGAACCCGCATGCGCGTGGTGCCCTTCCGGGGGAGGCATGCGATTCATTGTAAATGGAGGGTCCGGGTGATGTGCGCCGGTGTTTTGAAGCTACCAAGACGCGGCCGTCTTGTGGTCTTGTCGCAACTAGCCTGGGGTCCTTGGCACTTGGTATTTACCGTTGAGAAGCGATTGAGCTTGGTAAATCGGGACTCAAGCCAACATGGTGCTATCGATTGGAGTCGAGGAAGTAGGATGTAATAAAAGGAAACGAATGAGTGACGGATTGGTGGATCTGATGTCGGAAGGAGCGAAAGTTGTAACAATGAAATCAGATCGCGCCGTTAGAAGCGTGCGAATCAAATAACGTGTCTAAAGCTCCGAATTTCCTAGGTCGCAAAAATGCGGTGGTGATGGCGCAGTGGGCAACCGGGTGTGGAGCTAGACAAAGAAATAGTCAGATTACGGCGATGATCCGACCAGGGGCCCCCGTTAGGCCGAGATATGGGAAATATCAAGGAAAAGGAAAAAGAGCAAGGAAATCAAAATAGATCAGTGTATCCACCCGTATATCAGATAGATCGCAAACAGAAGTACAAGGTTGGGCCACAAGGAGGGGGAAAACACCTGAAGTGCAAGTTGGAACCTTGAGAACATTCCATGTACTCCGTATCCACACGGTTGGTACCTCGGTCAGGTATGGTACGAGCGTAATATAACCACGTACCTGTGGGTAGTCCAATACCGTAGACTAAGTGGGGGGTTCGGATTCGGATACTCGTAGTATATTGTGGATGTAAGGTGAGTTCACGGTCTAGGTTAATGACAATGCCAAGTGAGTTGAAGTCCGAGGTACATATATCACGTCCCAGTAGTTATCGAAAAGAGAACTATGGAAGGGAAAAAAAATCAAGAATCGGACAAAAGGGGAGAAATGATCTAAACCAGGAGGGGAGGGGGGACATAAAGTAATAACACACTTGGTTATAATTACGCCTGTAGGGATCGACAGCGGTGTTTGCCCCTCCCTGGATTAAATACATGCTCTTGAGAATCGCGGTGACTATCAAATACCTCGAATTTGGACACAAATTAAGGAAAATAAAGAAAAAGAAAAAGAAAAAGAAATTATCAAATGACCCCGATGACTTCTTCTGACCATTGATCTCTCACACAGAGTATATAATAACCATATAGACCCCTGAGAAAAGAAGCACCAACCTCTAATACTTACGGAGTACAATACTTACAAGTTACAGTTGACAGGTCTGCTTTTTGTTTCCTTTTGCTGGATTTACCAGGCAGTGGGTCCGGCGGCTGGGGGAAAATATGAGATGCTCTGCAGGAAAGAAATTAACAGTGTCCTCATTTTAGGATATAGTTACAATATGCAATGTGTGTCTGTATATGGATACCCCATCACTAGATGTGATAGACTATGGTGTATAGAATACTATGTAAGTGCTATGATCGAAGCTAGGATCCTCCGCGTGGAACGGGGATCGAACTTGCCGCCCGAAGGTCAACCGCTTCGCCGGGAAATGCGCCATGCAACTTGATTCCGAGAGTTACGTATACTGGGTGGATTGCCCTTGGATTATGGCTTAGGATGAGGACTCCTGGGCGGATTTCAAGAATAGAGTGATAACATCGGTGTTTGAGGTTGATTCTAAACCTAATAATCCTCTTTTTTTCCCTTCTTCATTACCATGTGACCGGTGTGTCGGACAGGGATCGCTGCCCAGTACCCAGGACTCGGGTACTCTTAGAACAAGATATCTAGATCAGTCCACATATCTATGACTATTATCTTCCAAGAGAACACGGAAAGTATATAACCGAAACTGCAGTGGAGGTGTATGTTATATGCCAAGAACAATATCCTTCAACGCCCCAAGCACCCAATAACACACGCCGCACTGGCCGTCAAGTCGGTCATAGACTCGGAAACATAACTCGCAAGGGGCGCTTCATTTCTAAAACACTGAAGATAAACTCTGTTCGGACTCGATTCTCAAATCAGTGGATATGCAGCTTTAGATCGGCGATGTTGGCAGAAAGCTTCCAGCCACCGCGGCGTACTAGTCACTCGAAGGGATACCTTATCCCGTGGCTTCCCAGGGAGATGGTTGTCGGGGCTGATCAGCAACCCAGGGCTACGGGCACCTTGCTCCGTTTAATCGAGATACACTTTGGGGGCATCCACTCTGAAAGACACTTCGACTGAATTTGAAATCTATATTGGGGCAATAACATACAATTATAACATATACGGAGTATAATGTACATCGATAGTATGCCATAGTTAGTAGACACATGAAATGGGATGGTAATTACCATAAATACCTGACATAGTAAAACCGGGTTCCAAGGTTTACCCGTTTTCCCATCCACGGATGACGACGGGAACCATCCACGGGTTCCAGGGGTTTCCTTCCAGAAGACTACTTCGTACTCCAAAAACCATTCTAGTCTATAGAAAGTGGATTGGATTGACATGCTGTCCAATTTAATCACGTTTCTGCCCGAGATCGTGTTAGAGCCTGGCATCAAACGAATACTACATCACGTTCATTTAGCAACTCACTTCCTTCCCAACTTAGGCAGTAACACAGTTTACCCCTAGCTTGATCAGGATGCAGCTCAAGACCTCCGTGCCACAGAAGACTTAACGGTGTTCCCTAGTCGGAGGACTTCTGAGCGAGTCAAACGCGCGATTGAAAGTGGCACGAGAGCACAGAGTTGCCTCCGCATTCCTGGTTTTTTTTGGAGGTTTTTTTGGTTTTTTCTTTTGACCGTTAATTTGTGTCCTATCTGTGTGGCCACCCGCTTTAACTACTTAAGAATCAAGCTGAAGGATTGAAGGATTGTGGCGGAGTACAAGTTCGCGGTGTATGCCAGTGTATTCCGAATATAGTGGGTAGTGTATGAAGTGTGGATATATACAAATTTTAGGGCTACTTATAGTGCAAATAGTCCGCGTGGAGCCAAGACTTTGTTAGGCGATGATTTTCTTTCTTTGTTTGTTCAAATGTTCCTTGATTAATTCCAATCCTCCATGGCATCGAGAAGTAATTCTTCCATATCAAGTATGCTTTAACATGGGAGTACGGGATTTGACCTGCATGAACGGAATCTGAGTTGAAAAGTCGGAATGAGAAACAATCCGAACCTAACCTTAGAAGCAAAGTCCATTCTCGCAATGATCTTTCATCGGTCCGTTGCGAATTCCAAGACATCCCACTGGTTGACAGCTGAATCGCAAGTTCTTGCCACCGTTAAGGGGTATCGGGGTTACATGGATTTCAATCACGAGCAGCATAGAAAGTATCCAATCTGCGTTCCAGTTTTGACTCGCCCTGTCGATCTGCCGCTTCCATTATCCTTTCCACTATTATATTCCGTAGGTTTGGAACGGCGCATTGGTTTAGATCTTCGGGTCTCCGTTATCTGTGGCTACGCGTCGCTGCCCAAAGTCTTGATTTTAGTGGGTATCATAAGAATCGGCACGGGCTATTTCCTTACCTAATGGGGAAGGAGGAATGAAAGAAAATATATCAGGCATCTATTTATTCCTCTCCGGAAATAACACATTGAAAAAACAGATCTAGCCTCCAAAATAACACGGGCCTACATCGTGCAGATGGTGACTGCACGCCATGCATCTTGCAGTATGTAGATATCTGGAATAGAGTTTGCAAAGTCATTAGATATCCAATGTCGAACGCAAGGGGTAACCACAACATGACATGATCACTATCTGGAAACGAAAAAAAGTCCAGTCTCTCAATGGCACACCTATGTCATAGCCTGGCTTTCAATGCTACTATGAAGTATCTTAGAGCCTCAATCCCTGAGCTCGCACCGCAACGCCAGGCTCGAGCTTTGATGACACTACTACCCACCTACACGTTCAGCACTCAGAAGTAAGCTATACCTAGAAATATAGTTGAAAGTACTGAGTAATCCGTACTGCGTGGAGATTTGCGTCCGAAAAAGCCTCAGAATCTGAACAAGTATGGAGCAGACCTAAATCACATCCAATCAGCACGGAGGATCACCTTCGCATTGGAATAGCTCCGTATGGGGAAGATGCAGGCGATCTTCTCCCTTGACAAACATCCCCACATCGATCGAGGGGAGGCAACACGGAAGATTGCATAGCGGTCGCGGAATAGGTCGAGTTCCTCGCATTAGACTGAGACTCTGATGTGCAATTGGCATATTTAGGCAGTAATGGGCTGCAGCTTAAACCTCCAGTATCTAGATAGGGATGGAACAAGATGCATGGACATGCTGTGTTACAACAACATCAACAATATATCATATTGACGTAGTTGCCTGTAACTTTTATCGTAAGGCTAGTGAGGGACAAGTATAGCCTAAAAAGGGAGTGTTGACACGCGCCAATGACAAAGTTCAAAACCAAATTGCAACCGCAACTCCAGCCCACCAACCTCCATGTCTTGTCTCCAGAAACATATCGCACGATTATGCAGAGCGTGGGTTCTTACTAGTCTAGTCCACAGAGTATATTCTGGGATTCTCGAAATCCGGGTATATATCGTACATAATGCTGAAAGGCCGAAAACTTCACAATACTGATAGGTGAATTGGCAATACGATATCTCAATGTCCATTAGAATCTCAAATCATTAGGCCTCATCGGCGATGTAAGCGCGTGATTCGTCCATAGATTGGTTGTGCCGCCTCAGCTAAAATGTGATCACCTCCATTCCATAGTTAGTCAACTAGTTAGCTAGACATATCACCACTGTACATTAGATGATCAGTTATGCGGGCAGCCTAGACTTGCTTCGTGGGCCTCTTAGCTGGCATTATCGAAATGGAATCCAGAATTTCACGGGACACGACATGATTATTCACGATCGGGGCTCTCCCGCTCCTCTGCATAGCAAACACAGATTCGTAAATCTGCCAGAGCTCATCTCAAAAGGTTGATTTGGAACTACCAATCAATTTGGAATCTAGTGTTATTCGTTCTCCGCCCATCCCCGCATGCACGACACGGTTCGGTTTCATAGCCTCCACGCTCCACAAAAGGGAAA